TTACATTATGTTAATAACTATCTATTCTACTATCGAATAGTAGCTCAGTCTCATGGTTACTCACAATAATGCAGTCCGTATTATTCGTTATTATTTGTAAATAAAAGTTATTTTTACTTATAAACATAATTTATCTTATTCGACTAAAATTGTTCTTTTGTAATGGAGTATACTGTATTCATATTATTTATAAAGATCTAATTTTTATGTTATAATTAGTTTTGGAATTTTATTGTAATCGCCATAAATATTCTGAAGCTGTAATAACATTTTTAAATTTATGATTTTTATTATAATTTATAATCCATGAACATGCATCATGAAATTAAAATGGAATAATCAAATTAATTATAAATTTCCGAGTATAATAAAAACTTAAATGAATAGACGGTAGTTAATTCATATAGCATACAATATATTATTATTTAACACGGTTATAGTATTAATGAAGGTTGGGCACCAAGTATTTCTTTAGCCTTATGACATGTAAATATTATATCATGTATTTTTAAGTCGCAGACCGTATTTCAACAAATCACATAATCATAATTGATAAGAAATATTTTGAAATTAGATTTCTTTACTGGTTCTATTTCCTAATGTTTTTAAAGTTATTATTTGTCCCTGAAAAAATAAAATGTAATCTTAAATCGAACGTTGATATTAAAATAAATTTCTAAAACTAAAGATAATAATAAACGGGTTACGACAATTGTTAATTGTTACGACAAAAGTTAAATATGACCTACCTATTGCTAATACTTTTAAATACATCAACATTACTTAAGCCTTTAGGCAATAGCCGATGGGTACCATTTATCAGCATTTATAACATATTGATAAACGTGTACCTACGTAACAAAATTTGAATACGCATGATTCATATAACTTTCATGTTACGTAATTCGAAATTATCCTCTCACAGTAACAAGTGGTCAAATTAGGGTTTCAAATTGTCTTTGAATATATAATGCTGTTAACGATACGATGTTCCCATACATCGATTGATGCCCATATGTATTGGTATGTCATAAAATACAATAAATATAAAATAAATTATGAAGTATAGGAAATATATCAAGTTAAGCGTTAGTATAAGGTCATGACGTTATTACCCAAACATGTAATGAAAATCCAAAATTGAAACCGGACCGTAATTTTATTTTTCTCGAATTGTAAAAGAATATGCATGTGGTATATTTTTACCAAATCGGAACGAAAATAATCAATCTTTCAAACACTTGAACCGTGTATTCGATTTATACGTTTCGCACCCAGTACGAGTTGAACAGACGGTCGAAATTATGATTTCTAAAATCGTATCGAATAACGGTTTTTCTATGAATTCTAGTTCGGAATAACAAAGGTGCCGTGGTATCGGGACGAAAGCGTAGGCAACGTAAAAAACCGTGTAAGTAAACATAACACATGCGCACACTAATGCCTCGAAATAAGAGAGAAAGAACCCGTCGATCTACGATAATCGTGTGCAACATTCGCCGTCCCGCGTGAAGATTTACCGGGATATCAATAATATTCAAACGAACCGTCGTCGGGGAAACGTTTCGGGAGTCCGAAACGATATTTCCGGTACGAACGGGATCGTGGGTATTTATCTTTTCACACCGACGACGGCCACGCACGACGCCGACACGGTTATCGTTGTTATACGCACGGCCGGGCGGCGTGGTGGCGGTGTGGCGCTGCCGACCGGATTTCACGGGAGCGCGGCAACGCGGCGGGGCCGACCGGCAATCTGATCGGCCGCCGTGTGAATTCTTTCGGTACGTCAGACTGCCGAGTCTTACTGCCGACCCAACCAGTTTCGGCCCGACGGGAACGCGCAACGTACCCGGGGATCGTTTTCGGACGGCGCAAAGCCCGGCGACGACGACGGCGCGGTCGGTCCACAAGGGACCGGGTGGGCACGGCGCGAACGAACGACTCGAGCGGAGCCGAAACGGGCGAAAACGCGCGCACGGTTCGCCCGTAGGGCGCGGTGACGGGCCACGGCCCGGGGGAACGGCGCGGGTCGGGGGCCGTGACGACTCGTCGGTCTCGCGTATTATGTCGCCAACACGGCTGGATGGTCCGTGCCGGCGAGTCAAGAAGCGGTCCTAGCGGCGGGGATGGGCGGCCGGGGCGTGGCGCGGCGGCGGAGGCGTTGGCGGCGACCGTTGCGGCGGCGGTGGTGGCGACGGGACGTCGGTGGCGGTGCGACGGCGGTCAGGGGTGACTTGTGTGAATGCAACGCCGCACACGCACACGCACGCACACACGCGCACAGACAGCTTGGCACTGATTTCTGTACCAGCAAGCGCCACCGCGTCTACTGCACACCACTCGAAAAACCTACAACGCTGCTGCTGCTGCCGTCGCTGCCGTTGTTGCTGCTCGCACTCACTCACACGCACGCAGTCCTCGCGTCCGCGCCGCACGCTCTCCCGTGTCTTTAACTTTTTTTTTTTCCGTTTTTTTTTTCTTTTTTTACATTTTTGTTTCGTTTCGTTTTATTTCTCTTTCCGTTTTTCCACGCTCGTCATCGTACTTGCGAAGTTTTTTCACGCCCGTGCGCTTCATCCAGTTTCGCCGCCCGTCACGCGGTCGCGTTTCGCGTCTCGTTCAGTTCGAGTGCGCGGACTCTGGTAGTCACACCGCCGCGGACGCGAAAATTGGCGGCAGCGACGTCCATACGTCCGCGATCGATCCTCGTCGACGATCCTCATCGGTTACGCACCGCTCGCACGTAACAACGTGATACCGTAACGATACAACGACGCACGAACGTCATCATGGCCCACGGTGCACAGGACGAACCTGTTGGCAAGGTGGTAGAGAGACAGCGACCGAAAGCGCCAGTTGGCTCCAGGCGAATATTCCCACCGCAGTTCAAATTACAGGTCAGTGCCAATAATATTTTTGTTACCGTTCGTCGAGAATAAACATTTTAAATCCTTCGCTCCGACACCACTGCCCGCATGCTTCGATTTCACTGCATTTTATGCTTTCGACGATGTCTTCGCAGTTCGGGTCTTGCGCCCAAAAACTAATAAAAATACTACGCTCTTGTACGCTGTTGAGATATTGTGCTTCCCCAATTCGAGCGAAACACTCTTTACTGTTTAGTCCTATAAGTAGGCACATTCAACGTTTTACTCGTTAGAAATTTCGATTCATTTAAACGATATATACCTATAGTATTTGTAGCCTTTATTTAGGTGGGTCATAATAAAACACAAGTTTCACGTTTAATTAATATTTGTCTATAGATATTAAAAATATTTGTTAGATTATGATTTTTTTTTTACTGATTTTTCTTTTTTATTGTTCTAATAGGTGCTGGATTCGTACAGACAAGATTCTGACTGCCAAGGAAATCAACGTGCTACTGCTCGTAAATATGGAATCCATCGCCGTCAAATCCAGAAATGGCTGCAAACAGAAACAAGCTTACGGTTAGCTGTACAACAGGCGACTGGCATTCCGAAACCTCCAAAAATTGCTGCTGCTGCTGCTGTAGTTGTAGAGACTACATCAGGCTCGGACAGTGATATTAACGTTGAAGACTTATCAGATACTGAAGATTCTGCATTAGATTTGTCAACTACTTGTTTAGATTTGACCAAGCGTAAGCGCATTGAAGAAGAACTGGAACCATGTAAAAGGCGACCTTTGGCTCCAGTTGCATCTACCGAAAGACCCTTATATGTTAGCCCAATAAGATATCCATATGTAGATTATCCTATGTACTACTGTTGGCCACCGTGTTGTTATAGACCATGCTATGTGGAAAGACCTGTACCTCAAAGACTTACTTGTTCATTGGACTTGAAATTATGCTCTTACGAACAAAAGGAACCATCTCTTTTAGACATATCATACCCACAACACTGGAACAAACAAGATTATAGGTTTCCAAGTTCGGTATGAAATACCTATGTGTTCGCATGATGTATACTTGTTATTTTTACATTGTCAGTTTTGACGTACATGAAGAATTTTTTTGGATAATCTATAGTGAACTGTTTGGATTGAATCGAAAGAAAAGAGAAGAAATAATAATTCTATATATTTAACATTGATTGTTTAATGTCTTTATTTATTTTTTAATTTTCATTTCAATATGCGAGAAATATTATAACACTATTGGATTGTACAGCAACACTCTGTATTGTAGTATGTTATCTATAATGTTATTGTTATAAGCTATAACATAATACCATATCATTTAATATGTATTGTTTTAACTTTTAAATTCTTAAGATTTGTATTTTTAACTACTTAAATAGTATAAGATTGGAACAAAAACCTATTTATTTAATCATACGACTTTGCAATAAATCATATTTTATAACCATATTTATATTATAAATTCAACTGAAAATGTTGCTTATTACATTAAATTTTTAAAATATATTATCACATTATATAAATGTTATACAAATTTAATGAAAAAACTATATTTATGATAAAATGTTAAGATTTATTTGTTAGAGTTCCTAAAAGAAGGCTAGATATATCAAATAAAACTTTTTGAATTCATTTGTAATGGCTCAACGGAGCAATTTAAAATATGTGCCAAAAAATTAAGTTCAAAAATTGCTCAAATTTTATTTGTCTTCCAAAAACTATAGGTTTTTTTTTTGTGCTGTCAGGTTATTCTGTATTATGTGCCTTATAATAATAATTTGTCATCAATAAAAATTATAAAGTCTCAAAGGGACTGACTTCTTGCTCAATTGAACCTTGACTAATATTTATATTTTACAAATAAGATAATGTACTATATAATAACTATAATTTATTTTGTAAATGCTATATTGTAGATTATTTACACAATGTATATATTTTTATAAAACAAAGAATGTTTTGTAAAGATACATTTATTTTTAATGAAATGTAATCATATACATATACGAATTGTTATTGTTTTAAATTTATAATTGAAATTTGTGAAAGTTAAGTTATACAAATATTTTCAGTTTACATAAATAAAAAGTAAAATATTATTCAATACTGAATCTAATTTATATGATTATTTTGTTATTAAATATTTTATGAAATAAAAATAATTTAAGACTTTTTATTATATTGTGTTATGTTTGAAAGTATTTCATACTTTCATAGTTACCTTCAAACTCAAAATATATAACATTTTATAATTAAAATAAATTGCTTGTTGTTTGATTAGTATGTTTGTTTGATTACTTATCACTTCAGAAAAATCTTTAAAAAAAAAATTAAGTATGGAATTGTATTGCATTCAAATATGTCAAAGTTAACAGATATTAATGCACAAAACAGTTAATTCTAAAATTAATATTGATTTTTGTATGATATCATTGTAAAAACATTTAATATAACTCAAAATTATAAAATTAATTATTAGAAATCCTGTTTTGTATTCATGAGAAAAAGGCCATTATTATATAAGGCTATGAGCCAATCGCTACAATTTATTGATTGAATATCATTGAATATAATAAGTTGAGAACATTTTTATTTTTTTATTCCATCATACTTTTCATACTTAATTCATTAATTTAGTCAGTTCTTTTTCTACAAGCATCTGTACTAGATCAAAAATATCACTAAGGATAATGTCAGCACAAGAAGTGTGCAGAAAATGCAATCGCACAGGGCCTCGCACTTTTGGATCGACTCTTGGAACTCCATTTTGTAGTATATTAAAGTCTGGCGTCTCGCGTTTTTGATTTGCACAGGACCTCGCAAATAATAGAGCCGACATTGACCAAGGATATCATTTAATTCGTAGTTCTATCAATTGTTGGTGATTGGCCGTCTGAAATTTGAATCAGTATTTCTTTACCATTTCTAAAAGCTTGGACCAATTAACTGATATCATTTTTTAATCAGCTATTATAAAATTGGTAAACACTTGAGTTAGACCATTTTTATCACAGGTTGATGAATATTTCGATTCCGGGGGTAAAACGAACCTAAAGTTGACGATTTGAATCGATTGGCATTCGTCAACTTTCTCCTTTAAAGTACAATATTATTCAATATCTTGTATACTTCAGCATATTTTAGAGGGTTATTCAACTTACGTTGAATATTTTATCCTGTTGTATAGAGTATATAGGTGTTCGCTTTTATCCAATTGGTATTCACATCTAGTCATCTAATCTATACTATGGATTAAATGACAAGTGAATACAAAAAAAAAAACTGTATTTTCTATAGAAAATACAGTTTTTTTTATTATTATTATTAAAAATAGAATATTTATAGTTTATATCGTATATTGTACAATAAGCAAATAAAGTAACATTTTTTTTTTTAATATAGTATATGAGTAAATAATGTGAGAGGGGAGGTCATGCAAATATCCAAGACAATGCAGTTATTGTAGGATGTAAATGATTCTCTAGTATTATTTTTTAAATGTGCCACGTACATAATAAATATTTTCTTTTTTTTTTTTTTTTGACAAATTACCTACGGGTTACATCTTAAAAGGATCACTAAAGATATTTATGTGTGTATATTAATCCACGAGTTTCATTTGAAATCTAAAATAAAATATGGTGTGCCTTGAAAATTCATGAAATTCGATCTTTATAATTCAAAAACAAATAATTATCAATAGTTTCATTGCAACATGCAGTTTACGGTATTCAAGTTACATACAAGGAAACTACCAGCCAATTTCGCTATTTTGGACACTATATAAAAACAGCAAACATATTATCGTTTGATTAAATATAAAGACCGCAAAATTTCTATGACTTATTTGTAAAAAATAGGGTCATATGTACTAATGATTTTTATAAACGGTTTTAAATTATTATTTATCATAGCTAAATCATATAAATCGAAAATAACTTAGAATTATAGCGTAAATAGATTATAATTGTAAGAGTAACAAGAAATAATTTAAAACGTCGTGGACAAGCAATATTCGAATTCACAAAATTAGATGGACATTGTTAACATATGAAAAAAAGAGTTTTCACTAATTTCTATACTTAATCATAACATAGATTTCCTACTTGCCTCCTATATAATAAATTTAAAATTTTTAATAATTTTTTATTCGATTTTTTACGTTTAACTTTATGGTTACTAATAAACAATGACTAATAGTATTATAAAAATAAAATAATTTAAGATGAATACTATATATTTTTGATAACTATACTATATCATGATAATATTTAAATATCTACGTAGTTAACTGTGCTCAAGAATTTTAAATGGGAAGGGTCAATAATTTATTTTACTTTGTACATTTATGGTGAATGTAATGTTTAAATATTGTTAACAAAGATGAAAGTAATTAAGCGCTTGAACGTATATAATTTATAATTATTTATTTTTTAAAATTTGTAATCAGAATCAAAGGGCAAGGTTGAGTTTTCTTGGAAAACTATCGGTCCCCACCTTAAGTACGCTTATATATAAACTTAATTTAAAATATATATTATTTTATAAAATCTACTTCATAGAACATAATTAGTAGTTAACATAACTGATATTATAGATTATATTATATTATTATGATAGTGTGTACGTAGGTATCTAGTAGAGGTATATTGAAGTTGAGTTTGATAAAATATTGAAATTATGAATAATGTATGGAAGTAAACACAAATCATGCTTGATGTACATTTGACTAATTAAGTAGTAGTTCACACTATTAAAACAATTCTTTTTATCTCAAACTTAAATTTGTGAACTAATGAAATTAAAACATGAAAATGTCCTTATTTGGATATCGTATTAATGTCTTCATAGTAGTGCCCTGATGCATCGAATCTATGATAGGTTCCATCTTCACAGTGAGTTTGTGTTACCATATTGAATATATTTAATACTTATTATTGCTTAACTTATTTCTGACCTGTACCTATTTATAATAATTGATGCAATAACACCATCCTAGTTATCTCTTTTATAGTTTTCACCTTTAGATGTGGTTTTAGATGCCTTCCATTTTACTTGTGGATATGAAAACTGAAACGGATCCGAAACTTCAGTACAATTTTGAAAGCATAATAAATTAAAAAAAAATATTATTTTATTGATCCTTGAAAGATTTAACTAAATAAAAACAATATGTTACATTTCTATATAAATTTAATACTACTAGCATTATATATCAGTTATTTCCCCCAAGAAGAAAAAACAACAAAAAAGAATTAAAGAATTATACGCGAATAGTACATAATAACATAGTATATATAATATATAGTATAAGGTAATTATAGTGTTTAATTAATATTAATAAAAATGTACATTAATCAGAGGTGAGGTCTTAAAATAAAAACAATTTATTGTATGGTTATATAATATGCACATAAAAAACATGCGAATTCAATGACGTGTATACAATAATATACGTGTAATATATACAAACGTATAGTAATTTGTTTATTACTTCTCTACTGATCAGTGTTTGTGCAGAATTTGGAATTAAGTCAAGTACAGAATCCCCCTTGCGGTGACAACGGCCGCCTGCAGACTGTTTTTACCAAGATGGGTCAACTAGAGACATACAAATATTATGTATAATTTCGGATAACATAAAATTATTAAAACTTGTAACTCCGTGTCACATAAGTCATATTACTGCTGTTCTTCAACAAAATCTTTGAGTGTATATGGATATATAATATAATATGGTTGTCAAGAGTTCTATTAGTCAGTATATTTATGTTCTAGGCAGATAATGTTTTGGAACATACAAGATAGAAAGCACGTACTAAATAATAAACATGAGACTAAATTCACATATTGATTTATTTAAAGAAACAAGGGTAGTAGTTTTCCGTGATGAGTAAATAAAACGATATTTTTGGAAGCATATGGACAGATACAATTCAACACTCAAAAAACGCACATCCAAGATAAATTAGCCGACGCAGTGCTTGGAGCAATTTAGAAAAAGAATACAATCGAAAAATAAAAACTTCTCCTTCCAAAGCACTGAATACAAGTTTGTTAAAGTTCCTCCGGTGATGACGATGGTTTTTGATTTATTTCAAAACGAAAAATTTCATGTCATTCGCAAACGCTAACTATTAGCGAGACTAATAACGTATAGTATAGTTACGTACGTCCAGTTAACACTATAAATAAAGATACAGTAGTCACTCGATAATTCGAAAAGCACCATAAATCGAAATAAACGCTTAGTTCCCTGAGAACACCTCTATAATTAAAATAAAATACATGTATTCCAATCCCCTCAATAATTCGAAATATCTGTTGGTAGGACTCACTCTACAATTCGAATTTTTTTTCGGAACCTATAATTCGAATTTGCTTTAACGCGGTTATACGTATGTTCATATGTATAAAGTATATT